ACAAACAAACTCACAGGGTTAATTTCAGTAAATTAACCCTGAGAGTTCTATTAAATATCTAAGTATTAAAATCAATACTAATTATTTTTTCCAAGACCATTAAAATGAGTTGGCAATGAAACTCAGCAGATCTAATGGCTTATTGGCTAAAGTTTGCCATTATATAAAATTATTATATAAAATTATTATATAAAATTATTATATAAAATATTATTTAAAATTATGACCTTTATTGCAAAAAATTATTGCTTTTCTAAATATCATTCATTATTTATTAAATGAGAGCTTAAATTTTTTGTTTATAAATTTTGTAAATGTTATAAAATGAAAAATGGCATAAAATTCTAAAAACTGTTTTTTTTTACATTTTCATTTTATTTAGTTAAATTTTTCTAAACATCTTTTAATTTTATCAAGCAGTCAAAGGGTTAAAAACTCATCTCCAAAATAAGGTCTTTAAAATAAAACGATTTTAATATAAACAAAATTAAATAAAATAACTTTAAATCAACTTTAATTCAATTTAATTAACTTTCAAGTGTGCTGTACTGTATCTCAAACAAACTAAAGTTAGGCAACCTTGTCACAAACTTGTTGTATCCCTTAACTACCTATTTGTCTGATATTATCATCACAAAAATTCTTCTGATATTGCATAATAATTTTAAAGTTATTATGCAATAATTGAAATTTAATATTAAAAGTAATAACTGTAACTATCTTTTCTTTTTTATCATTAACTTTGCTCAGTTATTTGAAATTAGTTCTTCTAAAACACCATTCCACTGAGTATGGAAATAAATCTTTAAATTAAGTATCTGAGTAATACCTAAATTAATAACTTCAAGCTCTGACTTTAAAAGCAATCTTTTCAATTACTTGTTAGAAAAAAACTGGTTAATATTTCTACAGTTAAAACTTGAAACTTTTTATTATATTTACCAAGTTCTATTTCCTCAGTTTTTCATTCTGCTTTTTTAATTAATATACTAGCATTTTGTTGTTGTCATTTTGATGGGTTTTTACTTGTGCCCCCTTATTAGCATCTATGCAACTCTTTCTGCATCTTCTGATGAGGGTACAACCCTAAAACTAACTTTATTAGTTCCAAAACCATCTAATAGTAAAATGATATCTGTGGCTTCAATTTTTAAAGATACCAGAGTTTACATTTGTTCAAAGCATAAAAACTTAAATAAAATCATGTTTTTTTTTAATTTTCTTTGTAAAATTGTAATTTATGTTGTAAATTTGTTTTTCGTAAATGTGACAGTCAAAAAATAACAAAGTATAATAAATAGGTATTATAAAAAGCTCAAGGCCTACGCCTCCTAATGCCTTCCCACTATTGCTTACACCTCCCACTATAGTTTATGCCTCCCCACTATGGAATTAACTTTTTTAAATTTGGCAATACTGTATATTTTAACAGTATACAATATTGACAAGGAATAAGATATTTTTAATATGAAACAATTTGCTTATTATTAAAAATATTTCACATAAAGTTACGCTAGTTTAAATTTAGTAGGTTTTAAACATACTAATTGCTTGTTATTTACATTCATTCAAAGCACATAGTTGTGAACTATGGATTCTAAATAATTAAGTGCAATTTTGGAAAAAAAACATAAAATTTAATTTTGGAATGCGCAGGAAATCATAAAATCTATTAATTTATGTGGTTTTCTAATTGTAACTTCTTTTAGCTAATTATTTTAACTAGCAGTAAGCAACCCGTAATACACGTTGTTAGTAAATAAAATTAAAAAAAAAAAACGCGTATAGAAAAGCCTAGAAACTACTTTAAAATAAAAAAGCCTAAAAAATGACGTAACTCGACTAATAATAATAATATTAAATTAGCGTATTCATATTATCAGATTATCTAAAATACAATTTAAAAACTTTTAAAAAAATTTAATTTTTAAAATGAAATTTTCTTTTTCCAATCATTATCAAAAATTAAAAAATTAATCAAAAATTATTTCATGCTTTGGTAAACACTTTAATTAAATCATTTACTGGCCCTGATGATTATATAGTTAATGAGATTTCTGACAGATTTTATTTTTTGACAAAAAATAAAGTCTATGTCAGAGATCTCATTTTAAAATTTGAATGAAATTCTTTGACAAAAACTGGAAAAAAAATGGAAAAAGAAAAACAGGATAAATTTGAGTACAGTTACAAAATCTGGTGAGAAAAGAAAACTACAAACAAGTGATGAATGTTTTAAAACATATAAACTAGACAAAGCCTAAAACTCCAATTTGGCTTTTCTTCTCATAATTAAGGTAGGTTTTTTTTATTTCATAAAAATTAAAGTAATGGACTCATGATGTTTTTTTTTTACTATTTTTAATTGTCTTAGCAAGTATTTATACTAACATCTGACATTTTTACTTGTTGAACTAGTTGTCTACAGAAGATTACCAAGCGGAAATTCCAAAGAAGAAAGAAGGGAGCAGAAGAAAAAAAGAAGAGATGTTTTATTCAAGAGCTTTATGTAATAAAAAAATTCTCTAAAATAGTATAGGTAATGAAGTTTTTTAAGTTGCTTTATTAATTTCACTCAAGTTTACATTCTTACACTTAAAACAGAAAAGAAAATATTGAAATTAGAGAAAGATGGCACAGTTAATTTAACAAGAATGTATACTGTAAAGGAAGCATGGACTGCAAACATAGTAAAGCTGATTACCAAACAACTCACATTGAAGCAAGTTTTAAAGAAAACAAATCGTATAGGGTTGATGATTAAGTAGGGGTAGAAAAAGATTTATGTATACCCATTGTGGAATACGCTGATTATTTAGCTTCAGTTGATTTAGCCTTATTGATCATACCACATACAGGTTGTTTAAAATACTCAAAAAATCTGTTAGGGGTCTGGAAAATCCATCTTTGTCCTTATATATAAAATAGGATTTGATGAACCAAATGGTCAATTATTACACAAATAAAGAACAGAAGGTAAGTATCAGTTATATAGAGGAACAAAAGTTATTTCTATATTGCATCGTCACAATTAAACTTTATATTGAATCTGACAAATCTTTTTGGATTAATGAAAAATCTTCCTCTACACTTTTTGTCCTGTGCAACATCAATATATAAAAGAAAGTGCTGAAGTTATGACAAAAGAATATAAATACTTTATGAACAGTAATTTGAAATAGTCTTAAACTTTAATCTTTTCTTATTAAAAATAAGGTAGAACAATCATTGATTGAAAAGTGGCCACTATGATTTTGTTTTTAAGTAGCTCTTTTCAAGTATGTAGTATTTGCAGACTGGCCTCTTCAAATATATACAATCTAGATGTCACTTTTTCAAAAACCTATATAATTCAAACTAAGTTTTAATTGAGCTCATTACATGGATTAAACACTTTTATTAACTTATTGACAAGTGACAAGCTAAGAGAGAAGATACTAAAAGAATTATTTAAGAAAAAGACTATTATCTCATGAAATGTTTCTACATAAATGTCTCTAATCTCATGAAATGTTTCTACATAATTCTGTATGCTTTATCGGGCAAAACATCAATTTAATGGCAATGAACTTGAAAAATATACCAAAAAAACAGCAGGGATCTATGTTTCTCTGTACCCATAGTCCGGTTCCCAATATCTTAAAGTGTACATAAAATGCTAATTCATAATTCTCAAGTTTTAAGAGATAAACCAGTACCAGTAGGTCTTCTTTCTTAGGAAAGAGGAAATTAAAAATTATAGAGAACATAATACGAGAAAATTTTTAAGAAAAGTTACTTATGAAGATGTTATGTGAAGATTGTTGTACAGTTCAGATCCACTTATTAGCTCTTTAAGAAGGAGTTTGTGGTGTTCATTAAGAAGCTTGATGAAGATTATTTGTGCTTGTGGTGTTCATTAAGAAGCTTGATGAAGATTATTTGTGCTTGTGGTGTTCATTAAGAAGCTTGATGAAGATTATTTGTGCTTGTGGTGTTCATTAAGAAGCTTGATGAAGATTATTTGTGCTTGTGGTGTTCATTAAGATGCTTGATGAAGATTATTTGTGCTTGTGGTGTTCATTAAGAAGCTTGAGCTTAATGAAGATTATTTTAAATTATTAGTGTAACTTATTTTAATTCTAATTTTATTTTTTTAACTCAAATTTCTGATAAAATATCTGATAAATAACTGTTTCTTTGCTAAAGGGGTCCACCATATAAAAAGCATTTTAATTACTACTTTGAATCTGGGAAAAGTTTTTCTGAAAAAAACTAAAAGTCATGCCAAAAATCATTAACGCCCCACTCACCTTTTATAATTTTAATTTTTTTATGGAAAACTGTTGTCATATTTAAAAAGGTTCATATTAGGAGGCTCTCTCTCTTTTATACAAGGTTCAAAACTGTATTCTAAATGTTATTAAACCTACTCTAGCTGCCATGCTTCAACCTCCACTACAAATACAACTGATGATTAAACAATCTCTTATTTCAAATTGCATCAATCAAAACTTCTGCATGACTCATTTTAATCTCAAAATTTAAAGTGGACTATTTTGGAGCAATTTTTAATCAATGATTTATAATTATAGTAAGTCATTGGTTAAAAAACAGCCACTTACTAACCCAAGCCCTCAGCCAATATATCATGCAATGATATACTGGCTGAGGGCTTTGTTTTATATAAAAATATAAATATGCAAAAATGCTATTATGCATACTTATATACACACAAACACACACAATAATTAAGTGAAAAAATATTTTTTTTTAGAAAAATATTTAATAGATCAATGAACTGATAATTAAGTTATCATAGTAATATCATAAATTATTTGAAAATTTAAAATATACTTAGAAATAATAATAATAATAATAATAATAATAACAATAATAATAATAATAATAACAATAATAACTATACAATATATTATTATAAAATATACAAAAGTATAAATATAATCAAACTATAGTATATAAAAATTTTTAAAACCTATTATGGTGGATTAAAAACTTACTTATTGTACCAATCATACTAATCGGAATTGATTTTGAAGGATTCTTAGCTTCTTCTGATACATTTGCAATGACATCAAATCCAATAAATGAAAAAAAACAAGTTGAAGCTCCAGCAATAACTCCATCAAATCCAAATGGTGCAAAATTACTCCAATTCTCAATTTTAGCATAAAAAGTTCCGACTGAAATAACAGATAAAATTGTAACAATGTTTATAACAACACAAACATTATTCAGACGAGCTGAGTTTTTCATCCCGCATGATATAAACACAGTGAACACCATTACCACCACAAATGATAAAAAATCAATATATGAGCTCATTCCTGGAATTTTAACCTCGCCAGTAATGGCTAATGTTTGATTTTTAATAACACCTCCTGCTAGTGTGTCGATATATGCTATAAGGCCTCTAGCAACAACAGAAGCACCTATTATATATTCAAGCAATAAATTCCATCCAATTATAAAAGCCCAAAATTCTCCCATGGTAACATAACAATACACATATGCAGAACCAGCTTTAGGTATTCGCGCTGCAAACTCAGCATAACAGAGCCCTGACAATATTGAAGCAAAAGCAGCAATTAAAAATGAAATAACAATTGCAGGTCCAGTTTTAGTTTTTGCAACTTCACCTGTAAGCACATAAATTCCAGAGCCAAGTGTTGAACCGATTCCAATTAAAGTTAAATCTAATGTTGACAAGCATCGCTTTAAGTTAGTGTCTTGATTGCATGCTGATAAAAATGTCTTTTTACGACTGAATAAATTATGGAGATTAACCAATGAATTTTTCCACATGGTTACATCAATTGGT